ATAATCCTATTTTAACCTGAGAAAACCTTTCAGTTCCCATAAGTTTATTTTAGGTCTTATGGAGCTTATTGGGGGTCTGGATTGCACTGCTGAGTGGATGATTATGGAGTTAATCTGTAGAGACGCTTGCTGTGGTACTGCCTGGTACTCAGTTCCAAGGCTCTATTATTGTAAAAGGTAAGGATGATCCTTTAGTGTGAAAATTTAGTGAGACTTGTTCTCAGGAACCTGCATGTATATAAAAGTCAAGCACACTGGTTCATACTTACATCTTTTTGAAGGGCAACGGCCTTCACCACCTCCTTGTTGTCTTTGGTAAGGTCAGTGGAGCCATTCTGTGACTCCTTTCTCTTCCTTATTCCACTTTCATCCATAGCAACACACTGGTCTATGAGGTAACATAAGTGTTGACACACATTACAGGCCACTTGCATTAACTTTTACAGGAAACACATCTTTGTTGTCCCTATAAAAGGTTATCATGACATGATAATGTTTAGAGGGAAAACTATGCTCTTCCATGGGCAGTAAATGTTCCCTTTCATCAAGATACACAGTGACTCTCAGAAACAAGAGCTCACTAAAAATCCACTCAAAGCCAAATCAAAACTAAATTTGTTCACACATTGATTCCCATAATCTTACAGATTTAATTACATTACCAGGAACAGATATGGCTCAATTGCACAAATTTTGATTTTAAAGAGTTTCACTACAGTATTAACCTCATGCAGTGATATCTTAGACTAATCATCAATAGAGCAGCTCAATAACAGCCTTAAAGAGATCACTGAAATATCTTTAGAAGGGTTTTGGGTTGATTTTAAGTTTATTATAAGGTGATTCAGCATGTAAGCATTGTTTGTGTGGCGCTTTTAAACAAATATAATAGCAATTTTTAACAAATGTCCCTTAGAGCTGTATTAACTGTAATCCTTAACATTCATTAACTATTTGACAGTCAAAGGGTTAATTTTAGTGATTTTTTTTGTGATTTGTAAAATACAATTTAAAAGTAGAACATTTGGATTTGGCGCTCTTTAGTGCAGTAATGATCAGCTCATATGCTTCATATGCTTTTTAACTGGGAAAAACTGTGAACATATTAGTATTCTAAACATAGACCCCAACTTAAAGTCAAACTAGGAGAACTGGTACAGACTGGCAGTAAGTCAAACATTATAAAAAAAGAGTGGGAAGAGCTCAAATGTCTCTTACTCTGACACTCTGTGATAATATTTAACTACAAATTATAATATTAATACTTAACATATATCAAATAACAAACGACTTGTTTAAGATAGAATTGCTTGAATGTAATTACATTTAACAGTAGCTCTGCATCATCACTATCACATACTAGAGGTGGGAATCACCATGCATCCCACGATACGATATCACAATATTTACAATATTTAACGCACGATACGATATTATTGCAATTTTTTTTAAATATTTTGCGATATTCAGATTCTATACATAAAAGTAAACTTTATCAATATTCATTTTATCTAATATCAAAGTGTCACACTCAGTCTTTCTCTCATTTCAGTCAGTTTTATTGTTGACAAACT